AATAGTAAGATAACAACAAATATCTCAAAGTTCATTCTTCTTCAAATTCTAGAAGGGGAAGACCATTTTTTTTTTGGATACAATAAGGGGAAGACCTTCTAGAATTGCGTTTATAGTGTCGATACTCAAAGCAATTTATTTCAGAAACATGTGGCTTGCGTTTATACGACGACGCTTTATGAATTAGATTTAAAACAATTATAAAATAGAAAAATGTTTTTGCATATAAGTTTTCTACGTTAGCCTAAAACAATGCCATTTTGAGAATAAATACAAATAATTTATATGCAGTAACTGCAGAAATATTATAAAATTACATTTACAAACAAAATGCAACAAATAAAATTTTAAAAATACAATATATTATTATTATTATTATTATATACGTGGCTATAAGACTATCCAATGACCTAAACCGTTTGCCAACGGCCTTGTAGAAGAACAAACCAAAAATAACCTTTGACTTAACGCAAATAAGGATGTGTCATCAACTTCCAACAACATTTTTGGCTCAAGATTTTAGTTTGTTAATGTTGATTAGCATTTGCCAACCTTGTAGCTAGAGCTTTGTTCCCTCACATTTTTATATCCTACCATCTACGGTAGCTTCTTGCATCGTTTTTTCTGATTCTAATAATTTTTCCATTTTATTGTTGTGCACAATATTTGCTTTTGATATTCTCCTCCTTATTTTTGTTTGTTTATTGCAAGCAATGGATCAAGGAGAACTTGGACGAGTTTTTCAGATGTTTGATCGAAATGGGGATGGTCGTATTACAAAGAAAGAGCTTAGTGACTCTCTAATGAATCTTGGAATTTGCATCTCGGAACAAGATTTGAGCCAAATGATAGAGAAAATTGACGTAAATGGAGATGGGTATGTTGACATTGACGAGTTTGGTGAGTTATATCAATCGATAATGGATGAGAAAGATGAAGAAGAGGACATGAAGGAGGCATTCAATGTGTTTGATCAAAATGGAGATGGGTTCATCACGGGAGAGGAATTGAGTGCGGTGTTATCTTCTTTGGGCCTAAAGCATGGCAAAACCATAGAAGATTGCAAAAACATGATCAAGAAAGTGGACGTGGATGGTGATGGAATGGTTAACTACAAAGAATTTAAGCAAATGATGAAGGCTGGTGGGTTTGCTGCAGCTTCATTAAGTTGATGGGTAGAGGGTCTAGGTCTTTTTTCTCTTTTATATATGCACATAGATTAATTTTGCATGTAAAAGAAGAAACAAGATACCCTTTGTAGAATATTATGTATCATATGGAAAGGGGGGGAAATGGTTTCTTGATTGGTGAATATATTGATGGGGATTTCTCAACATTTTTTACGGTTGATTAATCGATTCCTCATTATTTTCCAATCCATGTATATTTCCAGTTGGTGCTATTGAAACTTGCTTTACCTGCATTGACAAAAAGATGAGAGAAGAGACATGCATGCACTCTTTCTCATGATATTTTCCATTGCCATGAGGGTATTTGAGAATCTTGCGTCCCAAGTCATAAAAATCCGCTTTTTAGAACTGTCCTTCATATACACACGAACTTTTGATGAATACAATTTGGCAAAATTTGGTACTAGTTGAAAATATTTTCAAAGAAAAATTAACTAAGAGAATAAAATTCAACTCCATCTATCGATATGAACCTTTTGATTTTAATACTACATTTATAACTTTTATTTTCCGTTTAAAATTGAGGAAGCCATTAGTTATTGCTATATCTATCTCTTGAGGTTGAGGAGCTTCTGCATGCTCATGACAATTCGCTCGTCTCCACCGTTCTACACCAGTGCTTCAGATAACCGAGGCATCTTGATTACAAGCATGTTGCTGAAGGGAGAAGGAAACTATGAACTCTGGGCAAAGGATATGAAGAATGCTTTGAAAAAAAAAATTGGTTTTTATTGATGGAGAAATCACTCAGCCAGATGATCCAAATTTTGATGAAGGCCACATATGGAGAATATGCAATTCCACCGTTCTACACCAGTGCTGCTTCAGATAACTGAGGCATCTTGATAAATCAAATGGATTCGATCTTATACATACGCGAGGAAGGTAATCAAAAAAGAAAGAAGATGAGTTCTACTAGCCTGTTGCTGAAGGGAGAAGGCAACTATGAACTCTGGGCAAAGGATATGAAGAATGCATTGAACGCAAAAAAAAAAAAGGTTTTATTGATGGATAAATCACTTAGCCAGATGATCCAAATTCTGATGAAGGCCACGCATGGAGAATATACAATTCCATGGTCAGTGGTTGGCTTCACATTGCCGTTGATCCTAACCTTTAACCATACATCCCCTACTTCGACTCTGCTAAGGAGTTGTGGGATGATCTTAAAGAAAGATATTTAGTGGAGAACACTCCTTAAATTTATCAGTTAAAATGCATTCTGGCCTCTATTAAACAAGAAGGCACAACGGTGGGAACATACCACACCAGACTAAGGGTTGTTTGGAATGAATTACACGTAGCGACATCAAAGAACATGTGCTCTAACGGAGATAAATGCCAGGTGCTGAAATGCGTTGTAGATGAAATGGGCAAGAAGAGTGTGTACCAATTCTTTATGGGTTTGGACAATGACACATTTGGAAATTTGTGTCATTATTATAGACGCGTATACAAGGCATGAGCTGTACAAATGGATAGAAACAAATATAAGGCACGAGTTACAGAAATAGATACAAACAAATCAAAACATAACTGTTACAAATATGCTACTGTTACATAATAAATGTAAATATTTGAAATTGATTCAAAATATTTGAAACTAATTTCGATACCAATATTTGAAATTAATTCCGATATGAATATTTGAATTAATTCAAATATTTTTGTCCTTATCTTGTCCTCTAATAAATTAAACAATATTTTCTTCCAGCTGAGTAATCTAGCCAATATTTGAGTGCGCCAACATTACACAATTACACGTTTAATTATTAATTATTTAAAGGAAAAAATATTTCTGCAGTTAATGCAGATAAGTTATCTGCATTTATTTCCAAAACGACGTCGTTTTGGTATTGAAATTTTAAAAAATTATAAATATAAAGACTATTATAACCCTGAAATAAATTAAAATTACAAAAATACCATGATTTTCGTCCCAAAACGACGTCGTATTGGGCTTACTGCAGATAACTTATTTGCAGTAACTGCAGAAAAAAAGAACTCTTATTTAAATACATCAGTCACACAAAGGCTATAGTTTTTTTTTAATATATTCACTAATTCATCAATTATTAGATTAATTCGGTTCAAGCACTATCGAATCTATTATAGAATCATTTTCACCACTTACATATCTCCAACTCGAAACTGGAAATTAAGAAGAACGAACTTCTATAGCCTTTTAAGACAAATTGAAAATTAATTAAACTATCATATTCGACTATAAGAAATTTAGCTGCAAATACATTAGTCACATCTATAAAACCATTATCTGCCAAAAGAAAATGAATAAAAGTCCAAAGCTTGATTTCCATTGAATTTAAAATTTCAATGTACATTTGATGCTCAATGTATAATAATAATCAGAACATCATTTTCCATCTCTCTTTTTAGGTTTCAAAACCTCCATTTCAACCTTATACAAAAATGAAAATTAAACCAAAAGAAATTTTATATATTATTATGAAGTGTTCATGTAGACATATGTGGTGGGACCCATCATTTACAAAGAAAAAATGTAAAAAGAATATCACATACCGGAGATAAAACTACTTTTATGTTACATAAGAGTAATTTTTTCCTATTATGAAACGAAATGTTGATGGTATAGACACTGGCGGACCCATGTTGGGTCACATGTTCGCAAGTGCGGACACAAGATTTTGCATTTTAATTTTTTTTTGTAGTCATGTAGGTTATTATTTATCTCTTAGTTCAATATTTATAGTAAGAGTAAATATCATTTTAAGTTCCTAACAAAAAATATGGTCTCTATTTTAGTCTCTTACTAAAAATTAGTCTCAAAGAGGTTTCTAAGAAATTCAAAGTGGATCAATTTAATTAAAATCGTGGTCCCTCACAAATTCAAAAAAGACCTACATTAGTTTCAAAAAGACTAAAATAGGTCTACTTCAAATTTCATAGGGATCCGGTGACTATTTTTTTTATAATGAACTAAAGTGGGGACCGAATTTTTTGTTAGGGACCAAAAATGATATTTATTCTTATATTAGTTAGCAACGTTGCAACGTACGGAGATGATTAAAACAACGTAGCAACTCAAATTGATTAGAGAGAAAACTTATTCTTCCTCCCCAGTCACATACCTATTCCCATGATTTCTTCATCCTTTGTTATGAAAACAACTAGATTATAAGTGAGTTCAAGCGTTAATTTAAACTTTTTTTACAAAAAAAAAAAATTCGGGGCACTGTCCCCGAACCCCGCCACTAAATGTGCGGATATAAAAAAAATTTCTTGGGTTCAGCACTCGGTAAGTTGTGTAGACCTTAAGCAGTATAAATTATTTATAGTATCCGGTTTAAAATTATCTTGAAAACACAAAAATTATAAAATTAAATCATTTTTATACTACCGTGCTTTCTTTTAATTATAAACAATTAATTAAATCAATTCTCAAACTTTGTGTTACAAAAATACGTAAAATTTCAGCAATTTCAAGAAAAAAAGAAGGGTGGAAAAAAATAACAAAATAACAAAAAGAGTAAATATCATTTTTGGTCCTTAGCAAATTTCACGATACCCGCTTTAGTCCTTAGCAAATAAAAATATCCATCGTGATCTTTAAAAAATTCAAAATGGATCCATTTTAGTCCTTTTAGGGACTAATATGGCTCTTTTTTGAATTTTTGAAATTGTGAGAGACCACAATTTTAACTATGTCATTTGAAATTTTGTAAAGACCATATGGACCTTTTTATTTGGGGACGGAGTGTGCTGAAGTTTGCTGAGCACAAAAAAATGTATTTTACTCTAACAAAGAAAAAAAGATGGGTGCATTTTGCATTTTATAGAACTAGAAGCGAAGGCAGCGAAGGGTTTAAACTAGGGTTCAAGCACTACCATCGTTGCTTCACTGTTATTTGAGCTTCGTAACCATGTGGGCTCTTCGTCGAGCTTCGATCCCTCTCAGGTAACTCTTCTCCTTCTCCAAATAAAATCGAATGCTGCATCTCTATTCATTACTGTTACGCTATGTGCTCCATTTCATATGCAACTCCATTTTCTCTTCTTCTTTTTTCTTCTGTTATTTCGATCGAGAATTCACTCGTATGTTTTGATGGTTATTCTTGTGATATGTCATTGTCTATTATTAGTTATTAAGAGATGCTTCGCAAATGAACCTGTAATCTTTATTTTTTTTTATATATAAGAATTTTATCCTGGGAATTTTATTTAAAATTTCAGAGAGATAATTGATTTATTAATATCTTCTAGACCTTGTGTTTGTTCATATTTTAATATCAGTGAGAGTTTAAGTTGATTGTTTATTGTGCATTGTTTGTAGGAACAGAGGATTTAATGTAAGAGCTTCTTGTGTCAAATTAATGCCAACTACTTGTGTGGAAGATGTTGAGGGTGGTATCTTTGAGTCTCCTCAAATAACGTATGATGGATTTCTGTCACTGAAGACATATTACCATTCAGGTCATGCTTCCCTGAAATTTACAGTGAGTAGACGGGAACTTTCTTCGCAAGCTAATGCAGGTAGCACGAAAGAGGATGATGATGATGATTTGGAGGATGGGTTTTCTGAACTGGAGACGCCTGCTGGTGATGGAAATGAAAATCTGTTAACCTCTGATACAGACCTATCTGATGACAATGAGGATGTTGAGGAACCACGCAATGAGCTATCAGATAATGAGATTGATGAACCGACCAAGAAAAAGCCGCCTAGTGGAAGGGTTGAGGTAGAACTATTCAAGGAGATTGTTAAGGCTCCGGGTTTGTCTGTTCATTCAGCTCTGGATAAGTGGGTTGAAGAAGGGAAAGAACTAAGCAGAGAAGAGATCTCGCAGGCCATGCTTGCTCTTCGGAGGCGTAATATGTATGGGAGAGCTTTGCAGGTAATTGGATCAAATTTATATTTGCTTCTAATTTATGCATTTTAACATTTAAAGTTTGATGCTAATAAATTAACTTAAATTTCATTACTCGTATTTGTGGATAATGGATATTTGATGTTTGTTTGTTATTACACTTTCTGGTAATATCATTTCTCTAAAACTTTCAATCTGAAAAAAAATAATGTTGTTCAATATCACGCTATCCTTGTTTGACCTTCCGCAGCTCTTTTGTGCATAGATTGTAGTGACTTTCATGCATCCTGCATATGATGGAAAAGAGGAAGAGAGAAAGGAGAAAGGAAAAAATGGTGAGACTGCAGGGGGTGGTGAGACTGCAAACTCGAGCAAAGACACGGCAGGGGAAGGAGAAAGGAAAAAATGGTGGCTGAAAAAATGAATTCAGCCACCGTAAACTATAGTATAGTGAAAACATAGCAGTTTCATATTTTGCAAACTCAAGCATAAGCAACCATTGACCCAAGTCACAAAGGATAGTAATGCTTTGACCCCATATTGAAATTAAAGCGTAGGATGGTTAAGCTTTTGAGTTGAATTGGTTTTTACATGGTATCAGAACCTCGTTTCCAAGGTTCGATCCTCACTGCTCCTACTTTCTCTTGTGGAATTTCTTAACAAAGGTAGGTGGGCCTGTGTATTGTCCGCCCTTCAAGCTCAGTGAGCTCTCGTGTGAGGGGACGTGTTAGAGATATATAAAACCATTAAGGTAACCTCACCCAAGAGCTTAAGCTTTTGAGTTGAATTGGTTCTTTACAAATGGAAAGGAGACAACAGGGAAAATATTTAACTAATAAGAACCTGAATAATTCTGGTCTGGTTTTGTGTTGACATCAAAACACTAACCTGACATGTTGCAGGTTTGTAGGCCACATAAGGCACTTCCCCCCATATGTGTATAGTGTGTGGTGCTTGCTTATAATATGTTCCTCACCTGTTCTTATTCGGCATTTTTGGTTGATGTCGGGTGTGTCCTAGGTCCCTGGAACAATTCATGATGATTAGCTTTCATGGTTTTGATAGAAGTAAAGAGGCTAAATTGTTTTGGCACTGTGCAATCTATGCTAGAATTTGGTGCATTTGGTTGGAGCGAAATCTAATATTTTTAAGGAATTTTTTGGGTACGTCACTTGATTTGGATAAGATTAGGCATTTGGCATCTATTTGGTGTAAAGCAATGGCCTTTTTAATGGGGTTTCATTAACATATGTTGAGAGATTGGGAATCTTTGTTACGTTGATTTTCTATTTTATTCTTAGTTGTATTCTGTTTTGTTCTTTTGCTTAAGAGGATTCCTCACCCTCCTTTCTCTTTGTAATTTTATTCTTTGTCCCAAATCTCTTTGTATTTTTCAAAGGGAGCGAACCGGAACCGTGGTAAAGCTTACCACTGTTCCTTCATGATTTAAGGGTCATGGGTTCAAATCTAGAAAACAGACTCTTTGCAATTATGCAAGGATAAGGCTGCGTATAAGGATTAACTCCACCCCACACTCGCTAGTTGGGTTTAACGAGGAGTGGTTTTTTTTTTTATTCCAAAAAAATACTTATAATCCATGTCAAGTACCAGTGTCATACAATAAGTATAAGTCCAACCCTTTAACAATCCTTACGTTGTAAGAATCCTATTACATTAATAATTAACAATCATAGATACATTGCTTACTGCTTCTCATTTTATGGTTTATTTCTGCTTCTCATTTTATGGTTTATTTCTGCTTCATGGTGAAGTTCTTCAATGTTAAAGATGAAAATGTTCCTGGAAGCTGACTAGATATTCCTTCAAACATGAACTATTCGTCCGTGGTTCTAGCTTTAGCAGTTAACTGCTTGAAAAGTATTTTGTCCTATTCCTGCTAGACGATTGATACTAACTCACTAAGTTTGATGTTAAATATCGATTTATACTCTATTTTTTGGTATTTAGGGCTGCAGGGGAGAGAGCAACATTCATATGTTGCATATTGATCAGTTGCAAATGCTTTCAATAAAGGGGGATTGTTCTTCTGTTGAGAATGCAGACATATTCTTTGGGCAGATTTGCACCAGTCATTTGATATGATTCTTGTCTTGTATGGATTATTTTTCTAGAAATGCATTCTATATGTTTATTTTGCTGATTGGAGTTAGCAAAATTGTGGTTTTGGAGGTCTCCACAATCACAATGGACTACAGTACCACAATTGTGGCAGCATCAGCCACATTTTCCACATTTGTCCACAATTTTTATAATCACAATGCAACCCAATTTAAAACATGGTAGTTAGTAATTTTTACTATTTTATGATTTTTGAGTTTTACAAGAGGATGGATGTTTCCTAGTGCAATTTTAACTCTCTTTTTTTGGTTGGTTCTGTAGCTCTCAGAGTGGCTCGAGTCAAAAAAGCAGCTTGAATTTAGTGAAAGAGATTATGCTTCTCGAGTTGATTTAATTGCTAAAATACGTGGCTTACAGAAGGCAGAGGTTTACATTGAGACTATTCCGGAATCTTTTAGAGGGGAGATAATATACCGAACTTTATTGGCTAACTGTGTTAGTCAGAACAAATGGAAGAAAGGAGAAGAAATTTTCAGTAAAATGAAGGATTTGAATTTTCCTGTTACAGCATTTGCTTGCAATCAGTTGCTTCTTATGTATAAGAGGAATGACAAGAAGAAAATAGCTGATGTGTTGTTGTTGATGGAAAACAAGAATGTCAAACCTTCTCCTCTTACTTACAAAATTTTAATAGACATGAAAGGCAAGTCACATGATATTGCTGGAATGGATCAAATTATTGATACAATGAAGGCTGAAGGCATTGAACCGGACGACCACACAAAGGCAGTTTTGATTGGGCATTACATCTCAGCTGGTCTTCATGATAAAGCTGAAACTTCATTGAAGGAGATGGAAGGTGAAAACTTGACAGAGAATTGGTGGGTATGCCGAACTTTGCTTCCCCTCTATGCAGACCTGGGAAAGCCGGATGAAGTGGCAAGAGTTTGGAAGGTCTGTGAAAAACACCTTCGGATTGAGGATTGTATGGCTGCAATTGAAGCTTGGGGGAAGTTAAAGAAAATTGATGAAGCAGAGGCTGTTTTTGAGATAATGTTAAAGAGATGGAAGCTTTCTTCCAAAAACTGCTCAGTACTACTGAAGATTTATGCAAATAATAAGTTGCTATCGAAGGGTAAGGATCTTATTAAGCAAATGGGAGACAGTGGGTGCCGAATAGGCCCATTCACCTGGGACGCAATAGTGAAACTTTATGTCCAAGCAGGGGAAGTGGAGAAGGCAGAATCTGTTCTGCAGAAGGCAACCCAGCAGAGCCAGTTGAAGCCAATGTTGTCTACCTTCATGGCTATTTTGGAGCAGTATGCTAAGAGGGGCGACATCCATAATTCAGAAAAGATTTTCGTTAGAATGAGACAAGCTGGTTATATTTCTCGAGCAACCCAGTACCAAGTTCTAATGGAGGCCTATATAAATGCCAAGCTTCCAGCCTATGGGATTAGGGAGAGGATGAAAGGCGATAATGTATTTCCCAACAAAAATTTGCGGAACCTGTTGGCTCAAGTTGATGGGTTTAGGAAGAGTCCAGTTTCTGATTTGCTTGATTGAGGAAATTAAGATATCCTTCTTTAAGGATTGTTTCTACTCATAACTATGCAACAATTGTTAGTTAATTAATAGGTTAAGCTTCTTGGATTTGAATGTTTTCTGTGTATGTTTGAAAAACTCGTTTTTTAAGAAAAAATATGCGCATGTTACTGCATAATTTGTTATTCTTTTCTTATGTTATGTCGCTCTTTACTTGGTTAACATGCTTATAAAAGATGCTTGATGGTAGCCGTTTAACTCTCTTGAAGGGTTCTGGAACTTAAATTCGTACAATGCCCGTTTTCATTTGCTCCTTTTATTTCTAGGAGGCTCACCATGCTGCTATCTATGATTATAATATAGATGAAACCTTGATGCGCTGCTTCAACCAAGTTAACAGAAAACTTAGTGCTTCGTTCATGCCATACTAAGACAATTTATAGGGGGAAATAAGTTTAAATAAAATTGTGTTTTTATAGTTTATCAATTTAGATTTTGCTTTAATGTTTCTAAAGTGAATGTAGATAAGTTATCTATATTCGCTCTCAAAACGACATCGTTTTGGGTTGAAAAATTAAAAAATTATAATGAAAAAGACTATTATAACCCTTAAATAAATTATAGGAAAAATATTTCTGCAGTTAATGCAGATAAGTTATCTGCATTTATTCCCAAAACGACGTCGTTTTGGTATTGAAATCTTAAAAATTATAAATATAAAGACTATTATAACCCTGAAATAAATTAAAATTACAAAAATACCATGATTTCCACCTCAAAATGATGTCGTATTGGCTTACTGCATATAACTTATCTGCAGTAACTGCAGAAAAAGCGAACCAATAAATTATAATTACAAAAATACCTTGATTTTTGCCTCAAAACGACGTCGTTTTAAACTCAATGTAGATAAGTTATCTACATTGACTGTAGAAAAAGCGAACACTTTAAATTTTGGTCCTGAGAAACCTAACTGGAATAAAAACTACAGAGAAAATATGAAAGCATAGCACACAATAAGAGGCTTTTTGACCTTTTGTCCCTCATTAATTAATTCATAACCAATTTGCCCCTCCTCCAGAATTATCCACCATCCTGCCCCCATTTAGTCGATCAACTTGCACTTTTAATCGACTAAATGGTCAAAATTCAAAAAACATGAATCACGAATTTTAATCGACTACATCATCACCTTGATCAACTACATTTCGAGCACTTTTAATCGACTAAGGACATTATTTTGTCGATTAAAAGTCGCAGATCCGATTTTTTAAAAACCCCCCATTTCGCAAAGGGGGTTATTTTCAAACCCTAGTCGATTAAGAAGGCTCCAAGAACCCCTCTCTTCAACCAAGTCCGAATCCCATCCCCTTGAAGGTCCAATTGCACCATCATTGGTTCACAACTTGCGAAATTGTCATTGTAGGTAACGTTTTCTGACTTGCATTTGGTTTTAAGTTTTGGTTTTTTTTTGTTTTCTCCATGCTTTGGTTTCTGTTTTTTTTTAATTTCTTGTTTATGGTAGAAGGTTGTTTGAGTTTTTGTGGCTTTATGTTAAGAGTAGGGTGTTGAGTTTGATGTGAGGGTTAGGGCTAGGGTTTATATGTTAGGTTAGGGTTAAGGCTAGGGTTAGGGTTTCTGTTTTTTGTTAGGATTTAGGCTTAGGGGTTTTGTTTGTATGTTAGGGTTTAGGGTTGTGTTGGCTGTTTTATTTTAGGGTTGGGGTTAGGGTTAGGGTTACTGTTTTTATGTTTAGGGTATATGGTTTGTTTTCTGTTTTATTTTAGGGTTAGGTTAGGGTTTTGATTTTTATATTGAATTTTGAAATTTTTTGATATTGTTATTGTCCATTGATATTGGTTCCACTTGCATTGTAGGTACCGTTGTTCCCATGGCTGGCCGTAGAAAATCGGATAACGTGGAAAATGAGAGACACACGAAGTTACGACATGACCGGCCGTCTTCGTCAAGGCCACAAGACGAAGAGCCTGCTCCTGTCGACCTCCCATTCGGATACTTGTTCGAGCATGACCCCTTGGTTCATGATGCATTTGTCTGTGACCATGTTAACCGACCCATATGTCTGGCCAAATCACTTGATACAACATTTTTTACAGCGGAAGGTTTTAACATTGTGAGCTGGTTGGAGGGAGCACATCTTAGGGTTTTGGCTAAACTGTTGTGTCCATATTCAGAGCTACACGTACGGGCCTTCTACCATAACCTCAGCTACGTACAGGGTGAGATGAGGTCGAGGGTCTGCGGGGTGGAGATCATCATGACGGCTCCGGTATGGTTGGAGTTACTGGGGTATGACTTTGATTCTGCGCAGACTGTGGAATATGACGCAGATAGCAGCGTCACACTTCCAGGATATACACGAGGTGATACCGTGCAGGAGAAGAGAAGAGTTCGTGGGCAACACATGCATTATACGGTGGGGTTGCTTACTGTGGAGTCTCGTATACTACACTATGTCATCACCCACATTCTGTTTCCGCGAGCGTTCAATCATTCCAGGGTGTTGGAACATGACATTCCCATCATGTGGGCTATCCGTCATGGTAGTTCGGTGAACTGGAGGCACTACATCTGTTGGATGATGTTTAAGGCCAAACACAAGGGTGCACTTCCATTTGCTTGTCTTGTTCAGAGGATATTGGGTCACTTTGGTGTTCCCATGGGCAATGTGACCTTGAAGAAGACCACAGGGTATAATTGCAAGTTTGGAAAGCGTCTACTGGAGCAGTGCAAGATGACAAAGAACATACAAACGGGTGTGTGGCAGTTCACAGGTGTGGCTGATGTTGAGGATCCTGATGTTGCTCCACTTGCAGACATGGTTGAGCCCGAGGTGGAGGATGATGATGGCGATGATGATGAGACTGACTTGCAGGATATAGTTGAGCCTGAGGGTGGGTTTTCATTGCATGATGTCATGAAGGGCATAAACGCCACGCTGAAGAAAATAGGAAAAATGGCGCTGAAACACAAAAAATGGAGGAAGAGTCACATCCAGAAAGGGAATGAAAGGTTTAGACACATACAGGGAAGGTTCAAGGGTGTTGAAGATAGGCTTGCTCGTCTAGAGCTTGGACGAGGACAGCAGGTTGAGGATGTTGCAGGGCAGGGGGCTGATGTGTCAGATGAGGATGACGAGGAGACGACGTCCGAGGAGGAGGAGGATTAGATTTAGGGTTTATGTTTTTATTTTACGTTTGTAGTGTATGTTGTTATGTAATTGACTTCGGTCTTCCTATTTGACATTTGTAGTTTATGTGGTATTATGTTTAGGGGCTGAACTATTTAATGTTATCAACTTTGTTGTTACTTATTACTTATTTATGTCATTTTCATTGTTTACCACATGAAGGATCATGGTATTTTTCCATGAAAATTTTCAATTTAGGTTTAATCACAGCCTAACAGGTCTAAAATGTCTAATGCAACTCAGAACAGTCACTCATAAGAGAGTTAAATGACTTTACCAAGTTTCGAGTACCCTAAACCAACATTTAGCCAACATATGTACATATATAGTTTATAACCGCCACGATACTTTTTTGTACCCCAAATTATGTTCCCCAAGTCATAATATGCGTGTACATTAGTGTACAATCGGTTCACATTGTAGTCGACTAAACCAGTACAGGTTGATCGACTACATAACAGGTTTTAGCACCCACATTCTGTTTTCCTCGAATATTTTTGGCATGGAATCGATTGTACGCTAATGTACACGCATATTATGACTTGGGGAACATAATTTGGGGTACAAAAAAGTAAATGGTCCATTCGTATGCATTGTTGAGTACGTATTGATGGAAACCGTTTGTTTACGCTCCCGAAACTTGGTGAATTCATTTTGGGGTCATATTAGTAATTGTTATGAGTTTCAATCTATCAATATGGGCCAATATTACTAATTTGAATACAAATCAACATACAAACAACATAAAGTAACATACAGTACACATTGTAACATAAAGTTTCATAACATAATTACATGAACTAAACCATAAACACATTAGCTCCCTCCCATGGTGCTCACTAACATCAACTTCATAAATACATGCATAATATTGGTTCAACTCTGTCTAATCCTCATAGGGAATGTACGTTTATTGTGACCAATTTGCTTGCAGGTGCTACATCTACTTTGACTGCTTGTGGGTTGGGACTCAACCCAATCCATCTCATTCTGTATCCTTGAAGACTTCGGTCTTCCTTGTGCACGAACCAAAGATACATTTGGAATAATTGTTGGACCATCTATTTCTGGAATCAACAACTCATTACCCATTGGATACCAATGTGCAGCATAGACCTTCTCAATTTGTGTAATTGAGAACACAGGATCGACATAGTCATAGTGGTTCAATTTTTCAACCTTGCACACCGCTAGCACATGACTGCAAGGAAATCGTCTAGCTGTGAACCGTCCACATTGACATTTACGATTTAGCAAGTCAACCCTCATAATGTCGCTGACATCATGCGTAGATTGATTGTAGGCATCCTCAACTTCAAACAACTACAAGTCTCTATCAAAAACACGGACTCGAAGACTGACAGTAAACTGATCATTCTTTTGTAAGAAGTCATCAACCTTTTTTGCAATTCTCCAGCCTTTTTCCTTTGCTTTTTGGATCTTTTCACGCCTCTTGATAAAATACTCAACAAGTCTACTTTGCGTCATCTTGACCAATGCCGTTACTGGTAAATCACGTGCACCCCTTAGGACCTTATTGATACACTCAGATAGGTTAGTCGTCATATGACCAAATCTTCGGCCCTCCTCATCATAAGACCTGCACCATTTCTCTTTGGGAATCTGATCTATCCATAAGCTACTTGTGGGTTACTGTCGACAAATTCTTGAAATCTTATATCAAAATGAATCTTCGAACACATGTAACCTGCAAAAAATGAAGACAAATTGAATGAGTTATACATAAACAACATTACATACAACACGTACACATTCAAGAAAATTTTATACCTAGTTTCATCAGCGTTTTCTTCAGTTCCATGTCCCTAACCTCAGTGTTAAAGTTGCTTCCAATGTGACGAAAACAAAACATGTGATACGCAAATGGAGGCTGCCAACCGGCATGAACCTTCACAGCCCTGATGATG